CTCTTACGCCAAAGGAGCCCAGGAGAGCAAGTTCCAGCCTTCTACTTTGGGGAGGTAGGTTCACAAAGTAGGAAACTCCCAGATATTGGAGTATGTTCAAAATACGCTGTGCATTCACAAAATATAAATGTTCTTCACTGGCACTAAGTGCTATCATTAAAAAAAAAAAAATTAGCTCAGGAGACCTGAAGTTATTTTAAAACTTTATGTGCAATCCAGAATCCATTTCCCTTAGCAATTGTTAAACACTGTCTGCTTTCAAATTTATATATTATTCATTCCTGACCTTGTTTCTAAGCTTAACCAATCACATATTTTCTCATTTGACATCCTACTAATTAACAGCCGAAACCCACTGCCTAGAGGATGGTTTCCATTATGGAGTGGTACTCCTTGGCTAGAGTGGGATGAATGAACAACTGAATGCTTTATTTGTGGAAAAGGAGTAAGTGTGAGTCCATTATCAAAATGTAGCAAGGATGTAAAATACTGGGCTACCATGTTACAGCTCACCTGTTACCATAAAAAACCTCTGTATTCAGCAGCTAGATCAGTGGGAAGCCTGCTGCCCAGTTTGAATGGTATACTGAATTATATGACCAGTCTTGAAATCAGTTTGCCATCTTTTTCATAACTTTTATTTTTTTTCTTCCTTTTACTTTCTTTTTTTTTCTTGCAAGTAGGAAGCAGGAATGACTGTTTGATTATTAGATATTCAAGTTTAGAATTCACTATCATTACTGCACAATTCATTTGCTGAAATAACAAGTAGCAGATGCTACAGTGCAAGTTAATGAATAATTCTTATTTGTACTCTGCCCTTTGATTGCAATTCATTTGTCACAGACATGTGGGTTTGGTAATTATTATTCTCACACTTCCTAACATGTTTTTAGCTTTTTAAAAAGCATTTTGCTCCTTTTTATTTCCTTCTGCTTCATTTTATTTATTAAATTCTCACATTTATCCCAATTGTTTTGGAAGTCTCATAGCTCTTTATGGTTTGCTTCTGAAGGGGAATATGAAATACTTCAACTGATTTGTTCCTTATTGCAAATAAGCCAAAGCCATGGCTTGTTTACCATTACCAGGTTTGTTTACCATTTCACAGGCACAACTGATGCCTCAGCTTTCAAGGGCATGTTTTCAGCTTGGTACAAACCATGCTTTGGCCTTGTTTTTCTTTTTTTTTTTTTTTTTTTTTTTTTGAGACGGAGTTTCGCTCTTGTTACCCAGGCTGGAGTGCAATGGCGCGATCTCAGCTCACCGCAACCTCCGCCTCCCGGGTTCAGGCAATTCTCCTGCCTCAGCCTCCTGAGTAGCTGGGATTACAGGCACGCGCCACCATGCCCAGCTAATTTTTTGTAGTTTTAGTAGAGACGGGGTTTCACCATGTTGACCAGGATGGTCTCGATCTCTTGACCTTGTGATCCACCCGCCTCGGCCTCCCAAAGTGCTGGGATTACAGGCTTGAGCCACCGCGCCCGGCCTTGGCCTTGTTTTTCTAAAGTCTGCTCATTCCTAACCAGGAAACAGAGCAGGAATGTAATTTTCTTCCCATTCCAGTTTCTCTTTAGCTGCTTGTGTCCAGAAGTTGATATGGCATGGCTAAAATTAATACCAGAATTGACCCAGTTCACCCTCTGTTTTGGAAAGAAAACAAATGGCTAAAAAGTAAAGGCCTGGTTATTTTTAGAAAGAGAATTAGTGTAAAATGTCATAGAAATATAATACATTTAGTGTCAGACAAAAGTTATTGCCAGCAAGCTTCTCAAAGACAAGAAGAATGTTAGAGATATTAGGAAAAAGTATAGTGAAATTGGTAAGAAAAAATAAGCTGCAATGAAGCCTATCTGAAGCATTTAGAAGATGACTTTGCAAGAGGTTCAGAACAGAATAAAGTAAGAGTCTATCCCTGTTTATTTTTTTACCTTCCTATCCCTCTTGTATAGATATTGGGGTAAGAAGATGAGGAATGTTGCCCCTTGTTCTCTCTGTGACTAACAACAGTGAGGCTGAAGTGGAGAAGTGGCTTCAGACATGAACAGAGGTGGGGTATGGGAAAAACGATCAGTACTAAGATGTATGTGGCATGTGTGAAGATTTAGGAAAAACACACACACACACACACACACACACACACACACACACAATAGTGGCACTATTGATGTTTTTGGGGTGTAATTCTTTGTCATCAGAGGCTGCCCTGTGTGTTGTAGGATGTTTAGCAGCATCTCCAGCCTGATGCCAGTAGTATCCAGTTGTGACAGCTAAAAATATCTCCAGATGTTGCCAACAGTTGTCCCAGGATGAGAACCACTGGTTACATGATGTGGTTGGGCAGGAGGGTATCGGACCTTGAGCTGGGGTGGGCAGGTAAGTCCTGAGGGACAGAGTTGTAGGGAATGTTTCCAATTTCTCCTATGGAGAAATGGGAAGATGGTGGATGAAGGAAATGGAGTGGAGTGATGGGAACAAAGTATGTACATTCCTAAAAGAGAAGGAAAGAATCCTGAAGGCTGCAATAATTTTTTAAGACAGTAGATAAAAAGTCATGTAATATTTAAGGAGAAAGACCTATTTTTTCTAGAAGGTTGATTTGTATTTTATTGAGAGGGAAGGAAAGTTAGTTGATCAGAAAAGCGGGAGGTGGGAATGGTAAGTGTGTAAAAAAAAAATAGTTAAAGAACAAATAGGACCTACTATCTGATAGCACAACAGGGTGATTATGGTCAATAGTAACTTAATTATATGTTTTAAAACAAAGAGTGTGATTTGATGGTATGTAACTCAAAGGATAAATGCTTAAGGTGATGGGTACTTCATTTATCCTGATATGCTTGTTTCACATTACATGCCTGTATAAAAATATCTCATGTATCCCATAAATATATACACCTACTATATATTCACAGAAATTAAAATTTGAAAAAAAGAAGTGGAAATAGATTGAAAGCTCTCTCTGTAGAATGGAAATTGGATAGATTTTGCAGAAATAACCTTAACCCCTTATTCCTCTCAGTAAAGGGGCCTATGAAATAAAAGAGAATTAAACATTACGTAGTTCTTAGAATTTTCATTCCTTCACTCACTCACCTATATCCTATGTCCCAGGTACTATATTATATACTAGACAGTAAGGATAGTAAGATGGTTAAGAAACGATCCCTGTCTAAAGAGGTCCATAGTATACTAGGGTAGACAAAGATGTGTAATCAGTTTGAGAATCTCACCTAAGAGGCATAAGCATGCAAGTCTCATAGTTTCTTTTATTTATTTATTTATTTATTTATTTATTTATTTTTGAGACGGAGTCTCATTCTGTCGCCCAGGCTGGAGTGCAGTGGTGTGATCTCGCTCACCTCTGTCTTCTGGGTTCAAGAAATTCTCCTGCCTTAGCCTCCTGAGTAGCTGGGATTACAGATGTGTGCCACACGCCTGGCTAATTTTTGTATTTTTAGTAGAGACAGGGTTTCACCATGTTGGTCAGGCTGGTCTGAAACTCCTGACCTCGTGATCTGCCCACCTCAGCTTCCCAAAGTGCTGAGATTACAGGCGTGAGCCACCGTGCATGGCCAAAAGTCTCATACTTTCTGCGCTTGGTATTTTGTCACACTTCATTGCTTCTAACTGTCCACGTGGACTCCTTAGTTATTAAAACGTTCATTCTAGATATTGAAATTAGTTCCTACTCATTTAAAACATTAGTCTCACATTGATGTAAAAAACTTCTTCTCTGCCCTCCAGAGCAGACTAGACCTGCAGTTCCAACTCTCTTTACACACACCTCTCTTTTTTCCATGTGCCTGCTCTTCCAATGGTGGGGCGGTGAGTTTCAAGAAGGGAAACAGGCAATGCCTTAAATGCCTGACTGTGGCCATGTTGCTGTCTGCTTTCTGTAGGTCATTGTCAGTGAGAATGCATAGAGTTCCCCACAGAGAACTCAATATCAAGCAGCCCTCTAAGTTTTGGTAGCCCTTTGCAAGGCTTGCTGCATCTGTCAGCTGACTCCCAATTGGCAGTGGTGAAAAACATTCTTTTGATACATAGAAATCCCTTGTCCCTTGTTATGTTCCATGGCAAGTGTGTAGGCCTCAATCTCATGTGCTCCCTGTGATCCCAGCTCTGGGGCCTGTAGATTCCGACAGGATCTATAGTCCAGATTATCACCATATTTCTCTGTAGCACCTACCAACTCTCCCCAATCCTCCAAAATTCCTGGAAATTCATAATGAAGGAGCAGTCAGCAAGCTTTTTGGCAGAGGAAACATCCAAATGGGGACCGGAGATATCAGTCTCCTCTTCTTGAAGATGCCCCAAACCTTTACTAGTACCATGTAATAGGTACAAATGTCCTGAACAGAACACGAAAAATACCATTAATGAAACAAATTAATAATTTGGACAAATTCATAATTTATTTTTCTTTCTTTGTGAGACAAGGTCTTACTGTCTCCCAGCTGGGCTGGAGTGCAGTGGGCAATCACTGCAGCCTCAACCTCCTGGGCTCAGGTGATTTTCCCTCCCAGTCTCCTGAGTAGTTGGGACTACAGGTGTGCATAACGCCCGGCTAATTTTTCATGTTTCTTTAGAGAGAAAGTTTCACCATGCCACCCACGCTGGTCTCTAACTGTATTTTAAAAATACAGGGTGGGCGCGGTGGCTCAGGCCTGTAATCCCAGCACTTTGGGAGGCCGAGGCGGGCGGATCACGAGGTCAAGAGAATAAGACCATCCTGGCCAACATGGTAAAACCCCGTCTCTACTAAAAATACAAAAATTAGCTGGGCATGGTGGTGTGTACCTGTAGTTCCAGCTACTCGGGAGGCTGAGGCAGAATTGCTTGAACCCGGGAGGTGAAGGTTCCAGTGAGCCGAGATCCCGCCACTGCACTCCAGCCTGGCACCTGGCCACAGAGCAGGACTCTATCTCAAAAAAAATAAAAGAAAAAAAGAGTTTCAGACCAGCATAGGCAACACAGGGAGACCTCACCTCTGCAAAAGTTAGCTGGCGTGGTGTCGTGACCCTGCAGTCCCAGTTAAGTTGGGCTGAGATAGGAGAATCGCTTGAGCCCAGGAGTTCCAGGCTGCAGTGAGCCATGGTCGTGCCACTGCACTACAGCCTGGACAAAAAAGCAAGACCCTGTTTCAAAAAGAGAAAAGGAAAAAATTAACATTAAGAACTTCCTTCATCAAGACACCAAGAGAGTAAGAAAACCCACAGAGTAGGAAAAGAGATTTGTAACACACATCTCCAACAAAGGACCCGCCCTGAGAACACGGAACTCGCAAAAAATTAGCAACACTTCCGCTCGAGCCTGGACGGAACTTCCTGTCACAGAGAAGAACATCCGGCAGAATTTCCTGTTAGGAGGACTCTCCGGCACGGAGAAATGGAGGCCGAAAGGCTGCGACTCCTCGAGGAAGAGGCGAAGCAGAAAAAGGTAGCCAGAATGGGATTTAATGCATCTTCCATGCTCCGAAAAAGCCAGCTAGGTTTCCTTAACGTCACCAGTTATTCCCGTTTAGCCAACGAGCTGCGTGTGAGCTGCATGCAGAGGAAAAAGGTTCAAATTCGGAGCTTGGATCTCTCCTCTTTGGAGAGCAACCGATTTAACTTCATCCTGGCGAGTACCAACAGCGACCAGCTCTTCGTAGTGAACCAGGTGGAAGTCGAAGGCTCCAAGTACGGCATCATCAGCTTGCGAACGCTGAAGATACCTTCGTTCCACGTGTACGTGCTCAGAAACCTGTTCGTCCCCAACCGGAAAGTGAAGTCCCTGTGCTGGGCCTCGCTGAACCAGTTAGACTCTCACGTTCTGCTGTGCTTTGAGGGAATCAGAGAAGCTCCAAGCTGTGCCGTGCTGCTCCCAGCGTCGCGCTTCTTAAATGTCTACGCCAGTAGAGTAAACCAGCCTGGGATGCTCTGCAGTTTCCAGATCCCTGCGGCCTGGTCCTGTGCCTGGTCCCTGAACTTCCAGGCATATCACTGCTTTAGTGCCGGCGTGTCTCAGCAGGTCCTGTTGACCAACGTGGCGACGGGACACCAGCAGTCATTTGGTGCCAGCAGTGATGTCTTGGCCCAGCAGTTTGCCATTACGGCCCCTTTGCTGTTCAATGGCTGTCGCTCCGGGGAGATCTTTGCTATTGATCTGCGTTGTAGAAATCGAGGCAAGGGGTGGAAGGCCACTTGCCTGTTCCATGACTCAGCAGTGACCTCTATACAAATCCTCCAAGAAGAGCAATGCCTCATGGCGTCGGACATGACTGGAAAGATCAAGCTGTGGGACCTGAGGGCCACTAAATGTATAAGGGAATATGAAGGTCATGTGAATGAGTCCGCATATCTGCCCCTGCATGTGCACGAGGAAGAGGGAATCGTGGTGGCAGTAGGCCAGGACTGCTACACAAGAATCTGGAGCCTTCATGATGCCCACCTGCTCAGAACCATCCCCTCCCCATACCCCGCCTCCGAGGACGACATTCCCAGCGTGGCCTTCGCTTCTCGGCTTGGGGGCATCCGGGGAGCGGCACCAGGGCTGCTCATGGCTGTCCAGCAGGACCTTTATTGTTTCCCCTTCAGCTAATTCTGCAGGTGGCAGCATGGCCGAATGTGAATTTGACTTAAGGAAGTTGAATATCTTATTACCATTTTTGTGAGAGCATTTTAAGAGACGTGGTGTATATAGATCCCATCCATCCGGCTGCCAGGGGTAAGGTGTTAAGAGTTTTATATGGTGACATTTCTGTAAAGTTATTTCAGTTAAGCTCTGGATTTAGCTTGAAAGTCCTTCCCATAAAAGGTACCTATTTCTTCTTGTTGAATACCTCAGAATAGTTGCCCCCCCCCCCCCTTTTTTTTTTTTTACAAATAATAAAAGACTTTTCTAAGGACCGAAGATTGGCAAAAACTAAATTAAAGCTGCTGCTTTCACTAGTAGCTCTTTAGAGAAGCATAATGATGGAACTGGTAAGACTTTTTGACTACTGGGGTCCGAAGTATCTGTGCTTGAGAAAGCCAGTGGGAGAAGAGACAAAGGAGAGGTCATTTCTTCGAGTCTCTACAGAAATATTTAAGGCTGGAGCTTGGAATCATTAAATTTGGCCTTCTGAAACTCAATAGCAGATCTCCAAAATTCTCCTTTTATTATATATAAGCATTGGAAGGAAAGATGGATCTTTTTAAATACTAAACAGTCCTTCATGTGCTTTTGTTGAGGCCCTTCTCAGAATGTAAGGTACAGCAGTTCCAGTTTCTATTATGGTGACTTGAATTTCAGATTCAAGGACCCCGCTGTCAAAAGGGCTTTGACGTTTTGTAATCTAGGAGCAGCAGTTTGTGAGAGGTTTATTAAAAATGTTAAAAAGCTTGTTTTTCTACCAAGCAAGGAAGAAAAAAAAATGTGTAATAATGTTTGTTGCTACTTCTTAATAGCCAAAGCCTTTAAATGATGTGAATTTCCAAAATACTAAAATTTGTACTATAATCATGCAATTGGATACTGCATAATAATGGAAAATAAGGCACAATTGCTATGCAAAACAGTATGGATCACTCGCAACATGTTGATTGAAATTAGGTAGAAATGAGTGCAAACTGTATGATTCAGTTCTGAAGTTCAAAAGCAGTAAAAACTTGTCCATGGTGATGAAAGGTAGAATAGTAGCTACCTCTGTAGAAGGAAGAAAGGATTTTTCTTTTTCTGTTTGAGAAGTGACATGGGGAAGCTTTAGGTATGCTGAGTTTCTTTATCTTGATAACTTGATACATAATTTTCATATATTTATACACTTCACACTTTTATAGTTTACTGTGTATATGTTATTCCTCAAAAATAAAAATAAGAAAGCAATTAGGACACTATTGTAGTTAGTCAGTTAAGGGACAACGATGGCTTGGACCTGCATATGAGGAGTAGAAATGATTGCATTGGAAGAGCATTTGAAGGTAGTATTATTAGACTTGCTGATGAGAGTAATCTAGAAAGTGAAAATATAGCATGGCAGCTTTTTTGTTAACTTCATAACTGGTAGATGATGGTGTCCTTTACTGACATGGGGAGGATGAGGAGAAAAATCTTTAGGTGAAAGGAATGATGCTGAGTTTTAGGAATCTACTAACCTCCAATTGGAGATATAATGTATTCTTGTAAATCAGGGATCATGACATGAGTGGTAATACAAATTTGGTGACTTCAATACATAGAATTAAAATAGATGGGATAGATGTACTTCATATGATACAGATAGGGCTAATATTGTAGTAACTACATATTGATAGAAGATAAGTAGATCAACAGAGAAGGTATGGGAGTGTGGTTAGGCACAGATTTTTGGAATCCTTTAATTTAAATCAGTTTTTGATACTAACTTGATGTGTGACATGAGAAATTGTGTAAGCTTTACTTGCTGTTTATTCAGTGTAAAATGTCTTAGATAATAAAACAATCATAAAGTAGATATAGGATTAAAGGATGTATACATTGTCTTTTTTACATTGTAAGCATTCAAAATAAAAGAAAAAATTTTAAAATGGGCTGGGTGCGGTGCCTCACACCTGTAATCCGAGCACTTTGGGAGGCCGAGACAGGCGGATCACATGAGGTTGGGAGTTGAGACCAGCCTGACCAACATGGAGAAACCCCGTCTTTAAAAAAAAATTTAATTTTAAAAATGAAAAAAATACATTGTAAGCATTAAGAACTAACTCCAGATACACACACACACACACACACACACACACACACACACACACACACACACACACACACACACACACACGTACGTACGTACGTATATATATATGGCAAGTCCAAAAGCAGCTTTGGCAATTGACAAAAGAAAAAATGACTGCATAACTTGATCAGCTGTTTATCCTCACTTGCAAAGAAAACAAATGCAAGCAAATGCAAAAGAGGAAAAAAAAAGAAAGAAAAAACTAATCAGAAAAACACAGATACCTAAAAGAAAGGTAGGCAGGAGTCTTGAATAGGAGAAAAAGAGATCCAAATGGCTGATAAACATCTGAAAAAAGGCATCCAACTTCATTTATTGTCAAAGAAATGCAAATTAAAATCACAATGCCACACCACTTTGACTATAATGGTAAAATAAAATAGCTTAGGTAGAGTGATTTTAGGAATTTAAAAAAGAAGCAAATGTTGGTGCAGTTGTGAGCAAATAGAACTTTCATATACTGTTCAGAATGTATACTGGTACAGGCACTTGGAAAACTTAGTAATTGCTAAAGGTAGAAGTTTGCATACTCTATAACCCAGTAATTTCAGTTAGGATTATATTCATAAGAAATGCATACCTGTGTCCACCATAATTTGTTAACAGCCCCGCTGGAATCTACTCAACTCTTCATCGACAGTAGAATGGATAAATTGTGGGATATTCACACAATAGAATCCTATATATCAATGAGAATGAACATAGCAGTATGAGTGAATACTGCAAACCTAATGCTGAAATTAAGATTCCAAACACAAAAGAGCACATATTGTACTATTAATGCATGTAAAGTCCCTAAAGAGGCAAAATAAATCTATGTACTTAGAAGCAGGATTAATGGTATACTTGTAGGGTAGGAGAGTAGTGACCAGAAGAAAGGATTCTGGGAAGCTAGCAATGCTGGGGTCATGCCAGACCCCTAGTGACTCCAATAGGAATGACACTGTGTCCAAGAGGCCAAAGAAGACATGTGGAGACAGTGAACAAGACTTGGGTTTATTGGGGGAACTTACATATTGGGATGGTCCAGTGGTAGCAGGCTGGACAGAAGAACTACTACTGTTTGTAAAAATCATGCAGTCTATATAGCATTTTCATTTAGCACACTCCACCTAGCAACCTCAGTTTTAACCCGTTGCAAAGGACCTTGATCCCCTGTATTGCCTATGTTGTAAGGGATGGGCTAGGGGATCAAATGTTCACCACAGATGAGTGAAACTCAGGGTTGGTCACCCCCTGATTCCTTAGTTTGGGACTCTGAACACACATTCATTTTAGATGACAGGGTCATGCTCAGAGTATGCTTGTTATTGCCGTCAGGTACATCTGCTGTATCGCGAAATACTGGTTACACAGTTTTTGTTCACTAGTGATAATTCTTAAAGCTGTACCCTTAATATATGTGTCTTCTTCGGTGTGTTATACTTAAATAAAAAGTTAAATTTTTAAAAACTTAGACTTTCTCTTGCTGCCCCCACCTGTGGCTTTGGGGAGAGAATCCACTCTTTACAAATGCTACCCTCTCTCAAAGTATTACATTTCCATGCTCTGTCCCAGCTTAATTCTTCTCAGGGATAAAGGTTATCAAACAGGTCAGTCTCTTGCCTCCAGGAATATTTAATAACTCAATTATTCCAGCTGTAATTTGAATCTTGTTCACTACCCTGTGAGGAAAATTGTGTGTGTGTGCGTGCATGTGTGTATGTAATTTTTTCTCCACCATACCTGCTGAGTTGCAAAAGGAGCTATTGGAGAAGCTAAGAAGAGTTGAATAAGAGAGCTATGATCCAGGTATACAGTCATGACTGGAGAAACATTCTCCTTTTCTTGGATGGAAGTGGCAAAGAGTGAACCTAAGTTTAATGGTAGTGGAATACTAAATGGTCATTTGACAAGGTAATTGTGACCAAAAGAAAAATCTCACAAGTAATTTCATAGGATAATGTCAGGGGAAAAACCTGTAAGAACAAGATGGTCTTTCCTTCTCTCTACAGTGCTCACTCAAGCACATAAACTGATTTGGAGTTAGAGAACCTGAGTCTGATTCCATGTTCTATTACATTCTTGTTAAGTGAACTGTGGAAAAACCTTTGATCTCTCTGAAAAATGGAGATGAGGATTAGCAACCTGGTCAGAAACTATCTTTTGCATGTTTGCCTGTACAGGAAAATGTTGTCTGTGCAGACCCTTGTTGTTTCTGACCATTGTTGTACAGGAGAGATGGGGGTGTGACCAGATAGTTCTTACCCATGTATAAGCCACTTTTTTTTTTTTTTTTTTTTTTAGTACAGATGGGATCTCCTTGTGTTGCCTGTTGCCCAGGCGACTCTTGAACTTCAGGGCTCTTGTCTTAGCCTCCCAAAGTGCTGGCATTACAGGCACAAGCTACCTGGCTATAAGCCATTCTCTCTCTCTCTCTTTTTCTCTTTCTCTTCCTCTTCCCTTCTTCCCTTTCCTTTTTTGCTTTCCCTCTTCCCCTTTCCCTCCATTTTTCCTTCCCCTCCTCTTTTCCTCTCCCCTTTTCCCTTCCCCTCCCTTTTCCCTTCCCTTCCCTTTTTCCCCCATCCCTTTTCCCTTCCTTTTCCTTTCCCCCCACGCCTTTTCCCTTTCCTTCCCCTTTTCCTTTTCCCTCTCCCTTTTTCCTCCCCTTTTCCCCTCCCCTTTTCCCTTCCCCTTTTCCCTTCCCCTTTCCCCTTCCCCTTTTCCCTTTCCCCTTCCCTTCCCCTTTTCCCTTCCCCTTTTCCCTTTCCCCTTCCCTTCCCTTCCCTTCTCCTTCTTCTCTCTTTTTTTCAAGACAGAGTCTCTCTTTGTTGCCCAGGTCGGAGTGCAGTGCTATAATCTTGGTTCACTGCAACCCCTGTCCTCCAGGTTCAATTGATTCTTGTGCCTCAGCCTCCCAAGTAGCTGGGATTACAGGTGTGTACCACCACACTCAGCTAATTTTTGTATTTTTAGAAGAGACAAAGTTTTGCCATATTGGCCAGGCTGGGCCATTTTCTTATTGAAGTGTTCAGGTGGGCAAGCTCCCTCCTCCCCGACTCTTAAGAGGCAAGGAAAAAAATCCCCTAAATGTGAGGACAACAGGTGTTCAAAATTAAATTTGTGTTCTTGGTAAGCCTCATGATAGAGCCACTTTATTTTCTAATGGATTATCTAAGTCAGTTTTCCAGATAACCAGCCAAGTTTGTCTCATGATCAGAATTATTTTCCCAAAGCTGTAGACGGGATGAAACCAAGGAATAGTAGTCAGCTCAGTTGCACAAGCAAATTTCTGAAAGTTGTTGGAACTTCTTCAGAGTTAATGGAAAATCTTGTAGGAATTGTGGTTTATGGCAATAATCAAATGACACTTCACTCTTTTCGTACTTCTATTTCTACCTATCTGACTTAATAGTTCCCTATATTTAGGCATCTATTTATATCATGAATCCTCATGAAAGTCAGACAATTTTACACCATGTTTATCACACACAAAATGATACAAAAAAAAAATCTGAGGAAATTCTCTCTCAACCTATATTCCAGAAAAAATTTAAAAAACCACCTCATTGTCATTCTAGTCTTTTGAGAACACCTCACATTTTTTTCCAAAGGCAAGTACCCACTGACGTAGAAAGACTGGTGCTTAAGAGCAAGATCTTTGTGCCTTGGTTTCTTCATCTATATAACTTATTGAAGGTATTATGAATGAGATAATGCACATAGAGGGCCTGGCAATTAGGCAAAATCTCTTGGTAAGGATGGGATTGAGAGTCAAAGGAAATTCCCCTACGGAACTCTAAAACTGACATTACCTTAAGTTTTAGCACGTGGGGAAGTTTTAAAGATTTTCCAAAAGGATAAGTATATCATGATCTGTAGATATAAATACCAAGACAGCTTCAGAGTTATTTTAATCCAAGTCTGTTGAGGCTTTATTATGTGATACAGCATTGTGTGGGTTAAACAACATAACACACAGAATGATATTTTGTTCTTCAAACTTATTTGGCAAATCAAGTGTACTGGCGGTTTATAAAAATTAGTGGTATCTAAGTCAAGTTACACTCCAACTATACCAGGAAAAAGAGTAGAAAATACAATTAAATTTTACTATGCAACCAACATTTGTATTTTACACATCAAGCAGGCTATTATAGAAATTGAGAACTCTGCACAAAATGTATTTTTTTTAAAAGTTTCTTATCACAAAAGGGACATATTTTCTTCTAAAAATGATTAGAAAATACAGGCAAACAAAAATAATCCTATCACACAAATTAAAACAGAAGTTTTGATCAGGCTTGCCTAAAATGACAGTTAAAACCAGAGCCATTTTAAGAATCCAAAATATGAGATTAGTTTTGTTCAAAAAGAATTATCTGTAAAAGTTAATGAATGTTTGCATAGTTACCATAAATTAAGAGGTAAGCTTTTATGTATTTTTACTTCATCAAGTTGAATTTCTATTAAAATTTATTTCAAGAAAGGGAAAATAACATTCCAGTAATACTCGGATTTTTTAGTAATACTGAGCCTATGATTTATGGGACATCATTTTTTAATGTTTGTCCACTGAATGTTTTGAGTTATGTTTGTTATAGGAAGTTAAATTTGCTTACCATTCTTAGGATAATTTATTTGGTTATACTTAATTAGTATAAAATACTTGACTTTTAAAAAATTAAGGACATACTAAATTTTCCCGAGATCGTTATTTTGCGGTAATATAAATAAGCGACTCAGATTAACATGAAAGCAAACCACTACACGTTCCATTCAATTTTTTTGTGTGCCAGGCATTGTTTTAACCTCTTTATACAGCCATGTTCGAAACAGACAAGATTCCAGCATCATGA